GTTAATTTTCCTAACTTTTTAATTAAGCGGGATTTATCAACAGTTTTTATTTGATCTAAGATTGCTAATCCCTCTTTTTTATTAACCATTACTGGTACTTCGAAATCTAAAAAATGTTTAGTTCTTTTAGTAATTGGAGCCACAATAAAGCGGTAATCTCACTTGTTTAGTTTGTTAGTCGAAATAATAGCAGCAGGACGAACTTTCTTTATTTCGGTTCCTTTCGCTTCTTTCTTCCCAATTCAGTATAAATAAACTTCTCCTTTCTTAACTTCACCATTCACCATCCTTATTTGGTTCCTCGTTTTCATCCATATTATCTCATAACTTTAACTCCTTTTCTCGTTTCTTATTCTTAATTGCTTCACCATAATTAGCAAAAATGTCAATCTCTTTACTAATTGTGGGTTTTTGATAAACCTTATAAACAAAATGTTCTTGGTTGAGAAAGTTTTTTAATTTTGCTCCGTTATTGGTCTCAATAATTATTACTTCTTTCATATTATAATTTTATACATTCATTAATCAATATATTATACTTTTTGTTTGATAAATCATTAATTGCTATTATCGTGAATAAGTAATTAACAACAGAAATAGTTTTTTGATTCAAAGATAACACCATTGATCATTTATGAATTAGAAATTGTTATCCAATTGATTAATTATTTTTTAAAAGTATTCAGTTATTAGATATTTTTATAAGAAAATAGCTAAAACCTTATATAGAGTATATTATTACATTATTAAGTAATATTAGTTCTTTATATATCATTTGCCTATGGTCAAATTTTAGAAAATATCTAAGGAAAATAAGTAAGTTTGGTAATCTTTTATCATCTTAAAAAATCAATCACTAGTTTTTAGATATTTATTGGTTTAATTGCTTGGGTGGTGATTGGAATTTTATAAACAATGTAGCATCTTAAAAGCAATGAAAAAAATAAAAAACATTTTCAAAAAAGATTGAAAAAATATTCATCAAGATTTTACTCCTGAGTTAAAAAAAGGCTGAAAAGATAAAGGATTCAATTATGAACACACCAAAGAATGAATAGATGTTGGTTTGCAACTTAGTGATGCAAATTATGCTCAATGACTAAGAGATATTAAAAAAGTAGGTACTGATTGAGCCTTAGACCATGGCAATAACGAACAATTAAGAGAGGAGTATGAAAAAAATTTAAAAAACCCAGTTCAAATTTTACTAGAAAATCAAGATGAAAATATTAATAAAGTTATTCCAAGAAATAACGTAAATTGTGATCAATGTGAAAAACATATCGGAGATGATAAATTAACTTGATTTAGTGATCT